TTTCCAAAAGAGTCAAGTAGGCAAGGAAGGGAGAGCCAAAGACCAGTTAACACTGAAAACCAAAAACAGTTGAAAAGAGTGTCACTTACTAGTAATGCACCTTTCTCTTTCCAAGGAACAACGGCTACGAATACTTCATGGAAAAAGAAAGAGAGTTCATTTCCAAGCAGGTATTTCCTTTAATTACATGTAGCTTTTCCAGAACTGATTCCTTGATACTGAGCATGACTTAGCAGGCTCAGAACACATCAACAGTAAAAGGAGATGCATGAGGTTGGCCAATTGTTTATACAAATTGAATTCTGAATTTTGCTGTGTATTAGGAACTCTGCTTCAGTTCTGAATGGAGGATTTGATTGTCAAGAGGAAGCAACCAGAGCTCACAGCAGAAGTCTTAAGCCTCAGTAAACCTTCTATTTACATGGAAGTAGCAGTAAAAAGCTTTATTAGGATCTAAAGATTTTGTATTTGGAGTTTTCTAAAAATAATCACTCTGCTTTCAAATCGCTTCACTATGTGCAAACATCAAATATTTCTGTCAAATAACAACAGACAAATTCTCTACCAGAGTAATAAGCCAGAAAAGTTAGAGTGAAAAGACAGTGGCTGAAGCCAAAGGACATCTCAAAAAACATGCACCCAGACTTCTGGAAGATGTGCAGATCAAACAACGCAGTGATATTTCTCAGGTCAAGCTTTAAAATCAAAGGATGTCCTTTGGGTGGAGCAAGGAGAAGAAGTTACGTTTCAGAGACAGGACACCAGTAATTGTTTGGTTTTGTAATAGTTAATTATCCCAGAACAACCCAGTGAGTCAGATGGAAATGATATCTTACAACATCTCTGACAGCTTTTTATTAATACTTACATTTTGCCGATCTCCAGTTAAATGGGCAAACTCTACCATTTCATTTCCAAACTGGCTGAATATTTGTACAAACTCCTGGAAACTACTGACTTTTTCCAGTTGTTCCATTGTTGCAAGAACCTGCAAGATAAGGAAAAATATTGTAGGTTATGATGCTAAACAGAAAACATTATTTTTAAACTAGAAATATTATTATTTGCAGACACTTCTAAATCGTGTTGTTTAAAATGTGTATTTTGTCACTATTTAAGCATTAATAACTCAACAGTTGGAACTCAAGTCTAAATTAATAATCATGCTTCATTCAAAATGACTCGTTTGTTGTCAACTCTCAAAAAAAAAACCACCACGCACTCTTCCCAGTACCAAGAGTAGCAGTATTATAGGATTCAGTTTCCAGACTTAGGAAAACGTTACTGTCATACTGAATTTAAAAACATAAGTACTTGAAATTAAGATTATATCCCTATTTCATAACACTCAATTTCAGATGCATAACTTTCAAAGTCTAAAAATCACAGTTGCACAGTCAGACAGGTGTTTTAATGGCTATGTGCATTAAAAAAAAACCACAACAGCATTCCACAAAAGAAAACAAAAACAGTTAGAAATGAGTTAATATATAGTTTTATACTTTCCGTAACAACTTACTCTAACTCTGAAGATTTTTATTAGCTCAATGTAAAACGAATAACTAAATGAATCCAAGTTGTATCAAGCTCTTACTCAAGATACATAAAAGTACACAAAGTCAGCAATTTTTAAAACATTCAGCCGAAATTATAATTTGGTTTACAAATTACAGAAGCTTCCTGCTGAAGTCACAACAATATGGTTTACAACAGAGATTAACAATAGGATTCTTCAAGTTAGAGGTATAATTGCTAATCCCAAAGTAATCTTTCAAATCCACTAAACGTCTTCAGAGGGAAGACAGGCAAAGTAGTTCTTTATTGTGTTTCAGACTGGAGATAAGATATCACATGAAAATTTAACAAACTGTGCTTGGAAGGGAGAAACTTCAACCAATTTTTCCTTTCCTATGCCAAAGGCATCTTCCACCTCAACTAAAAAAAGCAGTCCTACATGTCATGACAAACTACCGCTTCCTTGTAACCCAGGCAAACCCTCCTAAAGCATCCCTTCTTTTGTAAGAGAGCAGCTGGTCAATCTCTTAATCTTTGTAAAGGAAACGTTCCACTAAATCCTTTGAGTACTGTGGAACTAAGTGCTTTACCATGCAATATTAGACTGCAGTACCTGTCTGAGTATCTTATACTATGCAGCCAGCTCCACGAAGGCTGCAGAAACAGGAACTTTCGGGACTCAGGTGTTGATGCCTGAGCAAGGCTGGGGTATAAAGGACTTGGAAGGAAGCCACACAAAGATGAAGACATGAAAAAAGAAGCACGAGAGTGGAAAAAGCAGAGAACCACAGGACTAGGAAAGTAAAGATGTAGAAAAGTGAAGGCACAGAAAGGAGAAAACATACAAGTTAAGGTCCAACTTTCTCTTCTAAGAATAGATTAAAAAAATAATAGTAATTATGCTCAATCATTCTTGGTTTAAGGAAGTATAGTACTTCATGAGTATGGTCTTGGTTGCAAGCAACTCTGTTACAGTTACCCTAGAGCATGTGTTTCTGTCATGACAAATCTCTTGTCAAATAAAAATTTCAGTGAAAGCACACACATTTCCATTACAGCTAACAAATCTAGACACTCCAGGCAGAGAAGACATTTCAAGAAACTACATACAGGGAGAAACTGTACAGATAGCTTAAAATTTGTCTAAAGCTTATTCAAGAAGCTGTTAAAATGCAAAATACCTGTGACGTGTTCTCATTTTACACTTTCTTCAACATGAAACACAGATTGTAATTAAAATGCACATTTTTAAATACAAGGTTAAAAATATGTTTTGAAAAAGGCTTTAAGTTCCTATTAATATCTAAATTAGAATTTAGTACTACACAGCTCCTGCTGCACTACGAATGTCGCCTTTCAGACGGCAGTCGTAGGCTGACATCACTTCAGGGCACATCCATATTTTGATCCAATCCACATAGTGCAGCAACACTCCCACTATCTGTCACTTCCCTGCTCATTGTTCTGGCACTCCTAACCTGACTGAGTAAGCAGAGGAAGATGCTAAGTTCACTGATGCATTGACTAAGTCTGATGGACAGGGAAACAAATTTTGTAAGGTAGGAAAGATGTGGACAGGGACTTCAGAAACGCACACAATCTAAGAACACAGGGACAGTACATGTGGCGCAGAGGAGTAGAAGGAACAGGATCATTGGGATCATCAACCAGACGTTGAGTTCTGGAGCAGATTACCATTCCAGAAGATCTCAATCACTTCATCAGTCTATGAGATTGGACATCCAACCACTAAGCTGTTTTTCTGTCCTTGGTTGACTTAACTACTCTTGATTTACATGAGGAAGATGATGATGACAATGAAGATGAAGGCATTCAGAATGAGGCAGCAAGAACCTGACACTAGAAGTTTAACATTGAGCATGCAGTCTCTAAGATGAAAATGCAGCTGAGATCTTCTGGAACAGCGGCCCACTCCAAGAAGCCACGATCTGCTCCAGCTGGCAGTACTGATGATCCTGTTCCTGCCTTTCCCTCCTCTAAGCCACATTATGCTACACTGTCTCTGAGTATTTGTGTGCACTTCTGAAGTCTCTACCCACATCATCCCTCTACCACAGTATTTCTTACAGGAAGAACTGCTTTGCTATCCATCATACCAGTGTCCGACACACTTTTCAGGAATGTACTTTAAAAGTATCAGGGTACGTCTGTGTAAGACACCATCCTTTGTTTCATTTCATCCTGGAGATGTGAATTGCTCTACTGGTACCATAAACAGAAGCAGACATTCTCAAACACATGTAGGCTACGCGTGGAAAGGAGAACACAGTAAAACCCAAAAGACCACAAACACTAGGGTGACTACGGCAATCAGAGTCGGACGCACTCTGGTATATGAGACTTCATTTTAAATATCTTCAAAATTAAATCTTGCACCTATGCTTACTATTTTCATATCACTGTATATAGGACAATAGTTTCATATATATTTAAGACTACTATAAGCCATGCCTTGCTGCTGAACGCCTATATCCCTCCTTATCCCTTCATGATAGAAGCACTTGCACATTTGCTCTGTAGCCTAAATCTGTGTTAAGACCAGCCACTTTTAGAAAGGCAAATTAATTCAAATCCCTGCATGCCTGCAGACAACGGCAGAAGAAAAGCTCACAAAAGGCAGCAAAAGGTATTGAATGCAGCACCATTCTGGTCTCCAGCGCAAGAAAAGACCAAAGCTGCAAGTAACTTCAGCAAATTAATATCGATAAAACTGCTGCTGCCTTCACCAACCACTGGGAGAAGGAAAGAGCACTAAGACAACAAATCAGTGCTGCTGAGTCTAAAGCCAGACTGAAGCAGTTATTACCACAGTTTTTGAATCCTGGACTCAATTAAGAGTCTTGGATCTAGCTGCTGCAAAATAGAGACCAGCATGTCTGGAAAGAAAACTGGGACGAAGGAAGAGATATAGCATGACGATTCAAAAGAGGAAAGAGGGGCTCTGCTCTGGATTACAAGTTGAAAATTAACGGGAAAACCCAGGCCCTATCAGGCCTCATTTTTCAAACATGAGTTTTTTCTATTCTTATTTTAGCACATCAGGGGAGAAAAAAAAAAAAAAAAAAAGAAGAGTATCCTACAGGCAAGACAGTGTCGTACCTAAATAGATTACATTTGAGGTTAAATAGGCCTTCATACATTATTTAAATCAACCAAGTAGCTTCAAGTCAAGTCTCAAGACATAAGTGAAACTGCACAAAAACTTTTCATCTGTAAACCTCACTTCACTAACGCAGACTTTTATCAGCACTCCTCACAGCTTTTTGCCTTGAACACACTCATAGTGCTCTCCTTGTCTTTATCCTGACAGTAAAAACACTCTGTCCTTAGCAATTAGAAGCTTTTATTGCCCATTTTACTGACAGACACACTTTCCACCTCACAGCAAACTTAAATAAGCAGTAACACAGCATCTTATCCAGCATACTAAGTCAACAGAGCAATACAGGTCACATAAAACGTAGAAAGTCACTGGAAATTGTTATTTTACAATCCTGACTTACAGTCCTTCCCTTTCGGATATCTGGTAGGTGAACAGGTGCAAGACATTCATTTTTACCTCTTTATTTTGCACTTCTCCTAGAGATACAATGAAAATACCACTTCATTTAGCACCACTCTTTTGCATTGACTGCAGGTATCAGTTCAGTAAAACAAAAAAGAAAGTACAAATACCTTGTTTCTGGAAGTTATAATTTGCTTAATAACAATTCTGTCTGCTAACACCAGCACCTTTGTGACAGAAGAAAGCAACAGCCTTGCAGCTTTTACCACACCCGTTTTGTCCGTAAAGATTGTTATGTGGCTATCAGATTCTGGATGATCCAAACTTGCCACGTCCGTAAGCTTCGCGATTGTTTCGCCTAGAGGGTAAAAAAAATAAAATTAACATTTCATACTTACAAAAAAGATACCGGGCCATTAACTATTCTTAACTTTTACCCTTAAGGGATAAAACAATAATTTCAGAGCTACCTACAACTGTTCTATTTCACTTCACTTCCTTCTATTGACTGTTGGTGGCACCCTCTCCATATTTAAATTTGGACTATCATTCAGAGCTGCCTCATTCTTCCATCTGTAACATACACTAATTTTCTTACAGTAGTCTAGAGATATTTGAGGTGGAGGGGGTGGAGCTGGGAAGTGTGGAGGGAGGAAAAAAAATCATGGGAGATATTTTTCCAATTTTAATAGCAAAAGTCAAATTAGTATCGACACTCGCAGCACCAACTCACTGAAGGAGTGAGATGCAGCAAGGAAGGAAGGAAGAACTACAAATTCCTCCTCACTTTCCAAATTTCAGTTAGTATTTCCATAACTTATGGATTTCCTATTTGTGCAGAAGTCTTCAGGCATGAAGAATAAAAAGATTCCAAACAGTAACTTTATAATTTATAGGACTGAGGCATGGTAGCAAGACTACTACACTTTATGCAAAGGAGGGCCACCAAACAGTATGTTGTCAGAGACAGGAGAGAAAAAAGACAAAGAAGCACTGATTTCCAGTTCATAAGCATCTTTTCATTCAACTAGCATTTAATATTATAATAGTTAAATAGGACTGTTCGACCACTTTTATTTTTTACATAGTTACAAATTCTACAATCCAATGCAGCCAGTGGATCTCCTTGTCTGAGAACAATCACAGCTCCCTATCCAATTAAATCTTCTGGAGTACTCTAGATAATAATGCAACAGGGGAAAGGCATGGAGTAGTTTCCTATTCCACAACCACAGATGGACTGCTGGGAGACTTAACTCAGGCAAGCTCTGAGACATGCTTTTTGTTAGCATGCAAGACAAGATGATCAGCCCACAATTAACCTGCAGATCATCCTTGAGGACAAAATCCAGGACATTTGATCAAGTTCCCCGTGACTCATCTTCAAAACCTCAACTAAGGTAATTCACCTAAGCAGACAAGATACTCCAAAAGCCTGATAAGGTCCCATATGAAGGACCTGAGGGTGAATTATTACTCCAGAAATCCCCCACGCAAGCGCTATGGAACAAGGAAGGTCTGACAGTCCTTCAAACCACAGAGCTCCATGCTTCATAGTGTTTACGTATAGATTTCTCTCCTCTGACAACTGAAATTCCTCAAGCTCCAAAGTTGCCTGAATAGGTATTGCTCTATAGCAAGGAGCTTCCAGTATTTTTGTGAGGTCAAGGCCAAGTCATAAACGCCATGCTACAAATAATCAGAGGGTCTCTCTAGTGTAAGTATGCAAATACGATAAAGAGAGTACACGCTGAGATGGTGAGTTCCACAGCTGAAGGGCCTGAAAACGAACAGAAGCAAGGAGAATTATCAAAGTACGGCTTTTATCCAAACATTGGGCAGATGTCCTACAGCTTCACTGTTAATGTAAGTTTCGAGTCAGGTGAGGAGATCATTTAACAGCAAAACAGATTGGCCATTGTCTTCTTCACAGTCAAATTCATTTCAATTCAGGCCAATCTCTAGTTGGAACTGTTCAACTTTGTCAGCAGATTAACACCAATCTCCTCCTTTGACCTCAAAATATATGTGACAACGTAAAATGCTGTAGAAACACACAGAGAACAACTAAAATAGACGTAAAGTGCTTTTGGTAACCAAGGAAGGTGCACAGCTTTATCCCAATTCTTATGCTGAAGGATTTACCTTCTTGAAGATGAATTACCAAGTCATAGGTGAAGCATCTAGTCATACAAAGAGTAATCAGAGACCATGGATGCTGCAGCATCTGCCTGTCAAAAGCTGCAGACAGCCCTAGAAACAAACTTGAGACTTCTGACAACAGAACAAAGGCTTCCTTCTCTGCCTGCAGATCTGCAGCTACAGGAACAAGAATAGTGCCCTGGCAGTAAGCCATGAGGAGCAAGACCTGTTAGGGTAGAAAGACTGAGCTAGGGACTATAAGCCAGCTGGGCATACACAAGTCCATGGAATATATCTGAGAACATCAAAGGAGCAGTTCAGTGTCACTGTAATTCTGCTATCATGTCTGAAAGATTGTGACAACTGGGAGAGATTTCCAATGACAGAAAAGTAATTGTCACACCAATCTAAGAACAGTAACAAGAAAAATTCAGGCAATTACGGGCTAGTCAGCCTCACATCAGTCTCCAGGAATATTATTAAAACCATCTTGGATGCCATCACCACACAAAGCAGAAAAAGGCAACTGGGAAGAGCCAGCACAGACCTGCAAGGGTGAATAGTCCCTTATCAATCTGAATGACTTCTATGATGAGATGATACCATCTCTAGAAAAGGAAGTAGTGGATGCTGCGTATCTCAACTTTAGCAAGGCCTCTGACATGATGTCCAGTAGCGTCCTTATAACTAAATCTTGAGATATGGACTGGGTAAGTCAAAATAAGGTGGGCAGAAAATGGACCTGACTGTTGGGCTTGGGTATGGTGATATGTGGTAAAAAGTCCAATGGGCAGTTATTTTCCGGCGGTGTCCCTCAGGGAAAGGCATCAGAACTGTTCCCTGCACGATGGGCCATCACATTCAGCAAGTATGTGAACAGTATCAAACTGGGAGAGCGTCTGACACACCAGAGGAGAGGGATGCTAGACAGAGGGACAGGCCAGAAAGATGATCTGACAGGATGGTTGTGAAGTCCAACAAAGCCAGTAATACCAAGTCCTGTATCTGGGCCAGAATAACACCACACAACAGCACAGGCTGGGATCAGCTCTCTACAGAGAACTCTGGCAAGGAAAGACATGAGGGTCCTGGTGGACAAAGAATCGAACAGGAGTCAGCAATGATGGCCAGCTGCATGCTGGGTGGTAGCTGGCAGGCTGCAGAAATGACTGTTCTCTTCTGGTTGGCACTTGTGAGGCAGCATCTGGAGTAACATGTTCTGGGCTCCCCAGCACCAGGGAAAATATTGACACAGTGGAGCATGTGACATAAGAGCAGAGGTTGAAAGAAGCAGATTTGTTTCATCTCAAGAAGGCCAATGGCAGTTAACTGCAGTCTACAGCTACCTACCTAATGGGCAGGTACGGGGAAAACAGAGACAGACTGCTCCCAGAGTTGCATGGTGATAGGACAAAAAGCAATGAACAAGATATAAGAAAATACTTTTGCCACTGTAAGGGTGGTCAAACACTCTAAGAGGTGTACAAGAAGTTGTACGGTCTCCATTCTTGGGAGTTAAATGTCCCCTCCAACCTAAGTTATTCTGTCATTCTATTTATCTATTTTAAATTGTTGGCTTTCAACCTTCTTAATTTAGTCCTCTGTACTAAAAGACAAGGCAAAAATAGGAGAGAGCTATTCATTGCTTCCATTTTACTCCATGTCTTCCTTTAGAGCTATGTAGTCAACTGGCAGAGAATACTGAAAGTGTTATGACGCTAACTCATTCTTGACATGTGTTTGCTCTTTCAAACTAACCAGTCTTTCCTAGTTTTGGAGGGAAAAAAATTAAAAAAAAAAAATCACAGATGGGCATCTAAAAATGTGCTTCTTTGAGATACATTCCACTACTATACTGTCACTGTAAACAGTGACACAGTGCAAGACTAATGTTAGGCAAAATCTGCTACATGACCCTCTGCAGTGTTTTATGATTATATTTTGAATCAATCAAATTACAACTTTTATTACAAGGAAATACTCCTTGAAATAACAAGTCTGAAACACTTCAGATCACTGATTATACCCTTCACAAGAGACAGATACAACATCTGTCATCCTTCAAAGCCTCTGCAGGATATGCAATTGATTTAAAGACTCTCTACTTTTCCTAGCAACTGAGACGCTTAATGTTCTAAATGCTTTAGTGTTTAAATCTATCTTCTATGCCTAACAAAGCGTCCCTTTAATTTCTGAGGCACAATGTAATTTATCAGCTAAGAAGAAGTATGAACAGATCTACAACATCCTCCATTCTGAACAGCAAGGGCTTTCTGCTGCCCATGCCATTGGAACAGGGGATTCTTTTATACAAGTATATACTCTTGGCTATAATTGGCCAGGAGATTTTATTGGCTTGCTTGGGAACACCAAAGTTGTTAAAAATGGCATGTGAGCAACTGTGTTCAGAGACTGAATTCAGAAGACAGTTATTCATAAGAATTTATCTGCACAAAGGACTGTCTTACGTTGTCCAGCACAGTCCACAGAGATAATCCTGGCACAAAAAAAAAACCACCAAAGAACAGCAGCAAACATGTCTGATATACAGAATTTCCCAAGTAAGTCTTCCGTTAGATCTCAAATGGATATCTCAGAGAAAATAACTGACCCATGCCAAGCTAAATGTGAGTCTTGACAGGAAAGTAAACAGTCTATATCTTCACTCCTCTAGATTGAGGCACATGACTGCATAACAGAAAATTAAACTTACAATGCAAAAAAGTATAGCCATTCGGTGAGAGAAAATACTGCCGGCTCTTTTTAGGTTCTGAGTTCCTCCTGGATACGCTCATAGGGAGAAAAAGCACTTGGCCACAACATAACTGGCAAGGCAAGACAAAGATCCAGACTGCACTGCTCTTCTAGCAGCTGAGATTATGGACATGAACTTTGGCAATTTTGGCTTGTCAGCGTTTTACTTGGATCTCTGAAGAGAAAGCACATGCTTCACAAAACAAATGGAATGTTTTCAAATTAGGACATTTCTATTTGCAGCCAAGTTTACTGGAGCGACTATGAATTTTCAGTCTGAAGTTTATCTAGAACAGTCCTTCAAATCACAAAAACAATCATTCATCACTAGCATATTTCTAGACATTGCAGCTCATTGTTGAGGGATTCTCAGAGGATTTCTTTCTTACAGTACCATGTCCAATTTCTAAGCTTTTTCTTTTTTTTTTTTAATTAAAAAAAAAAAAATAGTATGACATGCAACCCTAAAGTTTGAGGCCAGCACAGTGATCCAGCAAGAACTATACCAGTTAGGACAGCAAAAGGCAAGTTTCTCAGGCTTCTGAGGTTATATAAAAGACAAAAAACAAATACACACCCACGAGTCCACTGTTTAACTGAGTAGATCAATTTTAAGTAGAGTAACCCATGTCTTGGAGTAGAGCACTACTCCTTTCTGCAGTCATCAAGACATTAGTGTTGAACAGTCATTTATTTGCCTTCATATGTGGAAGGTCAAGATTGTCTCCCTGAAGCCACAGTAAGCAGAAAGCCTGTCACACCTACAGGTACTTCCACCTGCTTAAACAGGAAAAGCTTCAAGTAGAATTTCCCACGATCCAAAGGTATTTGAAGGAAAAAACAAAAACCCAGCACCGCTAACAACAAAAGGAACATCCATCAGATGTCATTTCCTTGAAGGCTGCACTGCAGATATAAGAATATGCATCTACAAAGAGCCACTGACATATAATGCAAGGAATAATTCTTAATATCTAGGAAGGTAGATTCTAGCATGACACTGACATTCTCTTACAGTATCAGAGAATGTAACCCACTATTCGCCTAGAAAGAGGCTTCTGAGGGGAGGAGGGTGACAGCATTTAATCAATTAGGCATACTTCACATTAAATCCATACACACACAGAAAGTTTGCAACAAAACTTGGATCCAGCAAAAAGGCATGCACAGTGTGTTTTTCATTCTACTGAGCAGAGTAATCAGATGACTGATGTGAGTCATCTTACCGAGTCCTGATGAAATATGGGTTGACACTGACCTTCATTCAGATATTCAGACTTAGAATGCAGTGACCTCAACATCGTAACACTCAAATTACTTTAAATACTCCACTGTTTTAGCTTGAGAGCAATAAACTCTAAAGTTGTATTCTCAACACTCTGCTCTTTGTCTGTAGTAACATCATAAAACAAAGAGCAGTCAGGTACTTCCTTTTGGCAAAAGATCCTATAAAAAAGCCAACAATTCCATTCCCTGTTCATAAGATTACAGCAATTTAAGTGACAAAATCAGGTAACAGATCAGGCCTTGAATGAAGCAGCAGAAGAGGGTTAAGCAATTAATAATCAAGTTCTTACATTATTCCTGACTCCAAAAATAGTGTGCCAAAAACGGCACAAGCACAATTTCATGAGTACCTACGTACCCGCTCTCCTTGCCTCGATGCAAGCAACGCTCATTTCCTCTTTCAGTTCATGATTTTCGTTGGCTATAGCTTCACCTACGGTAACAAATCTTCCAACTGCCAGGTTAACTGCTTGGCCCACTCGCTGAATTGCTTGCAGAGTCTTGTCTGAACGCTTTGGTTTATCCTTATGATTAATAAGAGTAGTAATCTGTGAACAAGAAGAGTTAATTATTAGAATTGTATGCAAGACGATATTTTAACTTCAGTTTTAAAGGCAGTAATACATTTTTATCACACCACTAATAAAATTTAGTCATGAGGTATCATTTAACTTCTCAGAGAATTAAAAAAAAAATTTGGAGTATAATTAAGTTTGCTCATCTGCTGTGATCTCAGCTTATCTCACATCTCAAATGAATTGAGGGATTATTTTTTTTTTCCCTCCCATTTGCAGTATTAAAACAAGCTGCCCTAGGTCTCTCAACAGGCATTCACACTACAAACACAAAGTTGAGAAGTCCAATAGCAGACACATCATCATCATTTTGGGTTTGCCAGCACTAGAAATCTTAGGTAAATAACTGCCAGGTTACACTGCCAGGTAAATAAACACACTCATCAACTAGGATTCAGGAGCTTTGGCTCTTTTTACTGAAATAAGCCTTTATAAATGATGTTTTATCCAATTTATTAAGGCAGGCTTTAAGAAAGAATAAGCAGTAGCACAGCCTTTACACAGAAAGAATCATTTGTCTTTTAGCAATGATCTGAAGCATTCAAGCCCTCCTCCCATTAAAATATCCACTATACTCATAAACACCCTCAATTACGTGTGTTTTCTAGAATTTAGAAAAAAGTTGCCATTTAGATGCAAGTTATCAGTAAAACAATTTGTGAGGACATTCTTATTCCAAACTCTATGTCTTGCATTGGCTCTTCTGCCCAGTACTACATCACACTATACATTCCTTCTTGGATCACACTGACCAGAGATCGGCTGCATGCAGGCTGCAGGAGACTGAGGATTTGCCTAAAACACCAAACATGAGGAAATAAACAAAGAGATCCCTCTCCCACCCAAAGAGAAAGGTAGGATTGCAGAAGTAGCTTCTGGACCAAGGCATTAAACACAAGAACAGTGTTGCAATCCTGCCACTCAAAGTTAACTAATTACAAACTGCACCACAAACAGTATAGGAGCTTTACATTTTTGGTATGGCAATCGTTTTCTCATAAGCCACAGGACAGAAGCTGAACTTTGTAGCTTCAAGTATCCTAAACTAGCATAAAAGCCATTATTGTTGCCAACAAAGATAGTCCTACCTGTCCTTGCGTCCCTCTCTCATTTATGCAATGAATTTATCTGATGTGGATTAAACCTGGGTTGTGAAGAAGGTGATGTTTGTTATTTTAGACTTCCTTGTAATCAGTTCACAGTACAGATCACTCTATAGCTGTACAAATACTTTTGGTGGGAAAAGGCACAGACTGAAGAGAGAAAGATGGGCAGAAGTGCTCCTTTCAGCAGCAGTGTGGGTTTAACATGCCCACAGAACTGCATTGTGAGCTGCATTCCCAGGAGCTCAAAGATGTACGCTGACAGAATCTCAGAATCATATGAATTACTTAAGCATACGAAGACCTCAGCTGTATCAGCTTAATTACAGATGTCTTCGCCCGTTCCTCAAAAAAACAAAAATCATCATTCACTCATACATTCTCCTACCAGTCAAGCCTACCGCAGGACAAAAGCATAGAAGCTGTGTCTGTAATGCTCACATTGGATTCAAGGACAGAGCAAGCAGCAGTGTAGGAACAGTTCCACTTCATAATTTGATCACTGCCCAAGGCTTACCCTTCACATATCACCAAGTTGTATTTCTGGGGGAAAAAAAAAAAAAACACAGCAATATTTTTTAACACCTGACTGGAGCTGGTTCTGAATGCCAGGAGTTGATTTAGTCAAGTCTGCAGTATTAAACTCTTTGCAACGGAAAATGTCTATACTTCATAAAGCACTTTACGCACTCCCCTCCCACCAAAAAAGAAGCCAGAAAAAGCTAAGAACTATCCCAATAAATAGTGCTGCCTGATCGAAGAACTCCTATGGGAACAGAAGAGTATTTTGTCCTGGTACAAAACATTACGACAAAAACGCATCATCTGCCCACTGACTTCTTATATATGCCCTACTTGTCCAACTTGTACTTAAGCCACAAGCTCTAAAGGAAGGACATTTTCTACAATTCATACAACAAATCTGTCCCCACAAGAGTCCCCTGGTTCACCAAACTTCATCCCCAAAGCCTATGAAGCCCTGATGCCATCCAGTGAAAACATCGTTTCACGATGAAAACAGAGTCTTATTAAAGAGTGAACTAGGCAAACATCTGAACATCTTCAGGTTCATTCTAGATGACGAATGACATTCCCCAAAACACATAATTACCATCACTTCAGTGGAAATTCAGATTAATGTCAAACGGATATTAAAAACAGCTGTACTATGCAGCTCTCCTGACTTCTTGCATTGTATATGCTTCAGATACACCAAACTATCAAATACCTGACAGCAGCGAATCTAACAATCCCAGCTGGCAAATTCTTGACTAGTCAGGGGCAGCAAGCTGACAGAGAGGATTAGTTGAAATGCTGAAGATCAGTTTGACAGATGGTCACAACTTTGTTTCCTCAACTGATTTTTAAGCAACTATCAACCCAACGCTACGCAAACAAAGGGCTAATATTACATTCATACAGTTACTGACTTCTCAAAAGTATATATAAAATAACACTGGCCTAAGACAAATAGAATACTAGTTGGATACAGGTCCTGGCTGCCAGTTTATCTCCCACAGCGTTTTATACCAACAGAAGTTTAAACATGTTCTGCATGACCCTGAAAAAAAATGAATATGCAACCAACACTGCAGAGTGAAAGGAATCCCACTTTCTCTCACAAATCATGAAGGGCATTTTAACCCCGCATGTTACTGCAGAGTTATGCAAATGATAAAAATCATGAAGATGTCACAGTTTAAGTTCCTTTAATAAAGTCTTAACAATTTCAGAAACATTCATTGGACACACGGGTGGAGTTTACAATTCTATCACTTCTTTAGCACTCCCTTCAGAAGGGATCATCAGCTTTGCAGGAAAGGGCACCCCTGTACCCCTCCACATAAGGTGAAGCAAGAACCATCAGCTGTTTTGGCAGGTCCACCACCAGCATCATCTTAACTTCATGAAGTTCAGCACAGCCGAATGCAAGGTCCTACACCTGGGTTGGGACAATCCCAAGCATCAATGCAGACTAGGGGATGAAAGGATTGAGAACAGTCCTGCAGAGGACTTAGGGGTACTGGTGCATGAAAAATTGGACATGAGCCAGCAACATGTGCTTGTAGCCCCAAAAGCCAACCACATCCTGGGCTGCATCCAAAGAAACGTGGCCAGCAGATCAAGGGAGATGATTCTGCCCCTCTATTCTGCTCTTGTGAGACTCCACCTGAAGTACTGCATCCAGCTCTGGAGTCCTCAGCTTATGAAAGACACGGACCTGTTGAAGTGGGTCCAGAGGAGGGCCACAAAAATGGTAAGAGAGCTGGTGCACCTCTCCTATGAGGAAAAGCTGAGAGAGTTGGGGCTGTTCAGCCTGGAGAAGAGAAGGCTTCAGGGAAACCTCACTGTAGCCTTTCAAAGGGGGATTATAAAAAAGACAGACTTTTTACCAAGGACTGTAGTGACAGCACAGGAGACAATGGTTTTAAACTAAAAGAGGGTAGATTTAGATTGGACATAAGGAGGTTGTCCAGAGAAGCTGTGGATGTCCCATCCCTGCAAGTGTTCAAGGTAAGGTGGGATGAGGCTTTGAACGACCTGGTGTAGTGGAAGGTATTCCTGCTCACAGCAGGGGAGCTGTACTAGATGGTCTTTAAAGGTCCCTTCCAACCAACCCAAACCATTCTGTGATTCTATGTTCTACTCTAGACATCCACTGGAGTAGCTTGTATATGCAGATTAAATCCAGTTTGGAACCCTAAGGTTACACACAGCAGCTGAGGCTTTGCAAATACCTCCTGGAATAACAAACTCTTAGTCAGGTAATATAATTTCTTTTCAGAATGGCTAACTTAGGGCCACTACAGTAACTCTCAATATTAGAATGGAGGGAAGTTTGTTGAGCTCCATCATTTCTTTTCCAGAGAAGTCAAAACTGTATGGAATGCCAGTTAAAAACAAACATGAAAGAATTAAAACTGAAGTTGGTCAAGAAGTTTGAAACATATCAAGACAAACAGCTTCATATAACACCTATTTCAAGTGTGATCAACATTATGTAGCAAATGCAGCCTGTACCAATATGCTAAAAAAAACAACCACCAACTAAATTTACATGAGATGTTTATTATAAAAAAGTAAGTAACAAACAACTTGGAAATTGAAGTAGGTAAGTCATGATGAAAGAAAGAGCTAGAGGAAGATACAAAATATATTAATTAAAGGAAAAAGGGCTACCTTTGGTTCTAGAAACATGAGTTAGACATACACCAAATGTAAAACACTTAACGTCAAAGGCATGACAAAAAGTTCTTCAGAAACAGATGAGCTTCTCATAATCTGCCACCTGCAGAAAAAACTGCTATGCAAACAAGGAAAATGTACAATTCTGAGAAATATCTTTCTCTTTCCTTCATGCAGTGCTAAGAATGACAGGTATATACTCAGGTATATCCTCCATTTAAAATAAAGTTATGAAAAAACAGAGGTAGTAGCAACTGCAGTTTCAGATTCTTTTCAAGACTTAATCAAACTTATAATTAACAATCAGGGTTAAAAAACTAACAAACCAGATCTTAACTAAGCAAGGAGAGGAATTGCACTAGTATTTTAAGTGACAAACCGAAGAAAACTGTGATGCTATTAAGCAGCACAAAGATTATTTAACCAGTTCAGACCATAGCAAAAAAAACCCCACAACCAAAATCCCACAGCAGTACAACTGGAGGAATGTTGGGGAGAGGCATACAATACCATTTGCTTCAGTATACAAATAAAGCAATGACCATTCAAAGGCCAATAAGATAAGCTTCTAAAATAAAGAATAAGCAATGTTTTGCTCCTGACTTTTAAACAACATTTAAAACAAAGATATAAAATTTGACACGTTAAACAGAGAAAAGCAAAGATCCACAAGAAGCCTAACAAGGAACTTTCTCCAAACGAACAACCACCTTCCTCCAAAGATACCTACCCTAAGAGCCTATATAAAACTGAATTAGTGAAAACTTGCAGTGTTTAAGGATACTTTAGATTACAAAGAATTGCTTTTCCCCTGCAACCCATTCAGTGGCAATCAGACCAGAACTATTACTGTTATGTTTCTTTCAGGTTTTTTTTTAAAAGGAAGAAACTCCTATGACTCCAAGAACATTATTTAAGATCTCCTTTAAGTTTAACACCTCCTAAATATTTAATTTGTTGTATTCTGATCATGTATCACCCAGTCACTAACATTTGTGGTGTTTGGGCAGGAGTTAACAGCTGAAAAGATTACCTGCAAGTCTCTTTGAACAAAAGTAATACGTTACACGCTGTTTACTTAAGGATTTACTGATCAGGTCCTAGAAAGGAAATAGTCCTTTTGATGGTATTCATCCTCTGTTTAACGCAAGCTCTTACACTATTTCCATGGAATGCTTATCTGAGATTTGAGACAATCAGTTTAAGGAGTGTGCAGTCTCAAGAAAACGTCGGTTACAATCTTTTGTTGCTTTTTATGAGCAGCCCCAGAAAAATGGCTTTTTCCCCAAGTATTTTACTGGAACTAACATATATGGCCATAATATATCAAGACGTACCTCATATTTAAGAAAACAAGCTCATTCTTGGCAGTTTTTGAGCAGCTGTTTTCAGAGCTCTTTGAGGGCCTTCAGATACTGGCATTTAAGTTGTTATATGCTTCATGCATAGGAAACATCATGACAGCATGCTTAGCTAAAAATATTCTAATGTCTATTTATTATCAGTGTAATTAAGTCTCGCATGACAGAATTAAGTGATACTTCAGAGACTAGGTTTCAGAAAGTATTTATAGACAACTATAAATAAATCAGGGAAATGTAGCTATTTCACAGCCACTGCTACAAATACAACTTAACATCTACTCATCAAATATTTTTTCACTAGTTGTCGTGGGTTATGTTGAACCGCCCCACACACAGCCGGTCACTCCCCCTCCCCCACCCCCAGGAATGAGGGAGAGAATTAAAGGATAAACGTGAAACCCGTGGGTTGAGATAAGAGTGATTTAATACAGATGATTTAATACAATGTAGGTGCTCACCACCCCTCGTATGCGAAGCCCGTCTCGTCCCGAAAACTGCAAATCCCGGACGAACGCGAGGCCCCGAAATAGAGAGGGGCAGAGAGGGAGAGAAAGAGAGAGAGAGAGAAAGAAAAAAAAACAGCAGAGCAACAGCGCAGCAAGCGCAAAAGAGCAAAAGTGCAAAAAAAGAGCAAAAGCGCAAAAGCCCTTCTTCCCGGCTGACCCTCGCTTTTATACTGGGCATGACGCTGCATGATATGGAATACTAATTGGCCAGTTTGGCCCTCAGTCTTAAGTTCCACACAAATGACAAGGGGAATCGTGTCCCCCTTGTCCCAGCTATGCTCCCCCCTTATCCTGCCGTGTTTCTGTACTCCGCACACTAAAAAGTCCTTGGAGTTTCACTTCCAACCACAAACATCAGCTTGCTATCAACATTCTTCTCAGAGTGAGCCTCTGAGTGAAACCAAAACAGGGAGCTCTTCTGGCTGTTAAAAAAAAACTCTGTCCCAGCTAAAACTGGGACAATACCCTATCCGACTTCCTTCCTGGATAAGCACCCACATTGTACATAGCATGATTTAGACTCTCAAGAGCAGTGTTTGTTACTGCCTCACACTAATCACTTTCCCTGCTACAAAAAACATTTAAGATGTTTCCTCTATGCAACGAGGATTAGCATCCTTAGAGTAACAGGTCCTCTTCCACTTTGTGTATTTTCTGCTTTCTATCTTCCATTGATTTCATAACGGTAGGAAATTCCTTTCTGAAAAAAAAAAAAAGTAATACCAAGAATGGAAAGCCTTTGCTAAGAAAATGCAATAGCACCACATACTAGGGAAGAAGCTACAAACTTTTACAATAGAAGTGTGCTGTAAAGTAAATTTAGTTGCATTTGATTGGGTATGTAGAAAACCTGGTCAAAAACATCTTTCCCACTGCTCATACTTTTATTACATCTTGAGTTTGGAGGTGAGGGGGAACTTTTAACATACGTTTTAGGTACTGTCTCTCATTAGATCTTGTGTAAGGACAAACAAGTCTTCAGACTCATTTAGCCAGACAGCAGCACACATTGTTCCAACACCCACATCTGCTACAGAATATGACCACACGTGAGACAGCACAGAAACAGCAGCTGGCATTTGACATCCAGTCCATAAGGGCTACAAGCAGAACTGTCACGTAGACTTCTCGTCACAAAAGATGAACCTCAGGGATCTTGAGAGGTGAACAAGGACTACTTGCTTACCTGTCCTAGAAATCAAAAATCTCTTAAGATTAAATGCCTGCCCAGGCATTATTACTAAGTATTTTCTACAATTTCAAGCACTAAAGTGTTTTTCAGAAGTCTGGCTAACGTGCAGATTTTTA